TTACTAGCAGAAAATCAGTTTTTTTTAAATACTGTTTTATTTTACTTTCAATGTAGTTTTTTCGCAAATGTATTAAAAAACGTCGTTTGATACACATGCGGATTTGTCATTTTCACTTGTCTCGCGTCTTGACCCTCGCCTCTGGCTCGGGCCAAGAAGCCTCGAGACTCGTGAATAATGTTATATCAAAAATAACTATTAAAGGCCTAATATATATGAATGCATTAATCTTGTATTAAAATAAATTAATAAAATTGAACAAAATACAGACTTTATTTAAAATAATAAGAGATTTCCATATTACATTCTTGCCTTGTAAACAACAGGACGTTCGATTACTGTGTTCTAAATAATGTTTGTAGCCTTTGCCGGTAGAGAAACTCGAGCCATTTCGGTTTGGTTTCGAATACGGCAATTTGACGTTCGATTCGGGTGTTGCGAATAAAAATTAATAATATAATTCCAATCCATAGCCGTTCGCCATATAAATGTGGAAGCATAACGCTTCGTACCAATCTTTGGAATATTTTGCATTTGAGATTGTGTACACTGTTAAGATTTGAGATCTTTGACATAAGTGCAACAAAGTCTATTTTATTATAAGTTGTGAGTTTGTCCGTCTGCAAATACAACACGGTTTGGTAAATTCAATTTCTCTGAACAAATATTTGAATCTCCGTAGCACGTGTCGCTTGGTAGCGAGGTGTGCCGTTTCTGTTTGTTTGTACAACATGGTTTAGGAAAACGGTGAATTAATTGCCTTGCAATTGTGCTTTTTTAGCGGATTTAGATTGTGTATGTGTAATGTATTTGTTTTAAATTACAATTCACACAATTCACCAAGAAAACACTTACAACAATAAAGACGATTGTTTCAGACAATTTCAATGAATATCAAATTGTATAAGTAGCAGGTAATACGATTACCTAGAGGATGGAGGCATTGTTTTTGCAATGAATGCCTTGTTTCAATAGTCATTCATTAGAAAATGATCTGAAAGAAATAATAACACAAAATCAGACAAACAATCGCAGCAATTACCATTTGAAGAGTCCAGGGAGAATTTTACGAAAAAATAATTTTTAATTTAGTGAACTATTAAATATTGATGAAAAATACATGCATAAATACTACCTGAAATGAAATCAATGCTGACATCATTGACTTACAAATAAATGGACGACGGGTCTAATACAAAAACCACGAAAAAAATATCCCAAGTCAACCTATTTAAACGTAGTGACATTGTAAAGGAATATGAAAAAGCTAAAACGTTGAATTTAAATTGTAATGTCATCGTAGTACTGTCTAATTTTGCTTGCTTCGCTGTCAGTCGAACAAACGAAGACTAAAGCGTGAATGACGCTCTGTATACGATTTTAACGCCCTATAAGTTCGGACACTTTTTAGCGCGGACCCAACATAATTGTAATGGGGCCAGGCAATGAAGTGGGGAGGGGTATTGCGGTGCAACGACGCAACGCTGACGCAACGGAGCTCTAAGGCTTTGAATCTCGCTGCATTTCCGCATCCCAGGAAATAAAATATCGAGACTTAGCGCGGTCTCGAAAATTCCGGGAAAATGAGACTTCAAAAATAGATTTTCGTACTTACAGGCTACGCATATGCAGTCAAAACATGATATCTTAATTAAGTTCTTTCTTAACTCAAATTATAAAATTAGAAATTATTATTGGTTCATATCCGGCTCGAAGGACCAAATGTACAGTTAGTTTGTCGACTAATATATGTCTGGTGTCGTCGGCAAAGGGTACAGAAATAATTTAATAAGGCATTACGATTATTAGAAGACGGCACATGAAGAAGAAGAAGTCATGGATGTGAATTAAATTTATATTTATGTATGTAACAATTTCTCTGAAGGTATACACCCTAACCTCATTTCAAATGTGACTGACCCCAATTTCATCTCAGCCTGATAAAGGAAACAATTATTCTACGCCGTCTCGACTAATCACGCCCTCCAAGGTGATAAGGGTGCTGTCGTATATAATAAAACATTATTATGCAAAGATCATGTTGTCGTGTGTGTTGGTCTTGTGAATTGTGTTAATCGTTGAGTTTAATATACATTTCTGTGTCATATATGAGAATTACGCAGGACATTTCAGCATCATATGCATAATTACTGCCTTGCAGTTTTGAAGGGTAAGGTCGTTGCGATTTAGTGTGAGGCCAGACGAGCGTAATGTTGTGAGTTGTGAGAAGCGTAGTTTGAGTTGCGTAGTTTGCGCTGCATTCGGTTTCATATCCGCTCACGCGATGCGCTCCTCCTACCGCAAAATGGCGGCTTTCTTTTTTCTTGATTGGTTTCGCAAATTAGAAAAGCATTCAGTTTAAATACAAGTTTTTATAAATAAAAATTATTATTCTGTATTGCTGAATAAATACCCTCCGTACTACAACAAAAACATCTCAAATAAAATGCAGTAATAAACTGCAAATCCTACACTTAAAAAGCACTAATGAAATTTTTGGTGTACTTGGATAAATATGTTAATATTCCGTTTGAGTGGTTCTAACGTTTACCATGAAATTACTCCTTAAAGAATAGTTTATAAACATTTATATTCAGGGTAAACTTAAAAAACGCTACTTACGGTATGTTTTCAATAAATAAACACCGAAATCACCAGCCCAAATAATAACACACACGATTGTCGTGACGTATTTTTGAAGTTGTTTATTTTTTTTTAATGACAAACCCAGGCATTAAAAACTTTATGGTTTGCTAGAGTAGTTACCGAAATAGCAATTAATATTAGTTCTTTTACCTGTTATAACTTCGATATCCGATAAATCGGTATAAAATCATCACCGGCACCTCTAGGTGTGGTATGCGTCTACGGCTGCATGTATCGCGTGAGCGGTTATAATTCGGTTTGTTTACGACACGACGACGCAAAATAAGTTTTCTGCCGACTCACAAAAAAGTCAGTTGACTTTCGGTCGCATCGTCGAACGGGCTGGTGCGGGTGGAGGTAGGGGTGAGGAAGGGGCGACTTTGGTATAAACGCTTAAAAAGCAAATGAATAAAATACGTTCGTCTCGCACTCCAACCGAATTTCGGTCGAGCGCAAACTGCGCAACTCAAAAAACGCACCTCACAACTCACAAAATTACGCTTGTCTGGTCTCACCCTTAAAACTCTGGCCAAGCGCACGAGTTGTTCGTCCTGTCATTTGATTCTACGTTTACGATAAATAAACCACTTCCTAATTCTACGTGTGTTATTTGAAAGTTCGGTAAATACATACTGATCTCTGGTAATGAATAATAACGCACACACTCAACATGTCCCGCACTAGGGAAACCTTGTATCGCGGGTGCTAGCTCCACGGTCTAAGGCTCAACTCACACTGGCGCACAGTCGAAGCTTCGCGTCGCGTCTTGTCTTTCAACTACAACGCCTGTCGTGTGACGACGCTCGCATTAGTGTGCCGGGATCACAGTGTGATCGGCGTCTGACGTCTCACGGTGCCCAAGTGACGAGCGAAGCTGGTCGAATGCTACCAAGCGTCGATTCCATATTTGCAAAACACAAAATTGTACCTTAATAAAGGCGAAAAACATGACGCGTCGCGACGCTTGGACTCTGCACCAGTGTGAGTTGAGCCTAAAAGTGCTCCTTACCAAGGAGAGCCGTTAATTAATTAATTAATTTTTAAATGGGGAGCTTATAGCTATTTTTACACACGCCAGCTTTCACACATATGAAGGTAAAAAATGTATCTACAAGAACACAATATATTCCCTAGGAAAAAGAAAACATTTTTATATTATTAAACCCTTCACTGTATTTTATATGTACTTTTTCGAATTGAATACATTTTTCCCTGACACCGACACAAAGGCTTGGAGATGTACTGTCTGAGCAAACACAATGTGCCATTGTGTATAGTAAATCGATGAAGTAGTTGGAAGTGTTTGGACATTTACAGGTAACAAAAAGCATTGTAAATAATACACCTATTTATATATCGTTATATTTCGACAATATTTTGTATTCTTCTTCTAATCGTATCCATGGCATACACTAATGGTAGCCATAGTGGTGAAAGGGTTTGCCATTCGGCATAAGGTTCTCGCCGATTGTTGCACAGGGTGCGCCAGGGGGTCTACTGTTGTTCTCCGTCCGATACCCATCCAAGACAATAAGAGACCGTCCGCGCGGCGGCGGCATAACGGTGGCCGTCTCGATTTTATATCAATTGTATGAAAATAGAATATTCACTTCTACACTCTAGCCAAATCTGACGTAGAATAAATGTCAACAAACAAAAACATATGATTTTTAGGGTTTTCATCTCAGACTCTTTCGCAGTTACCACAATTTCAATATTTTCCTCCGAAATTCAACTAGATTATGGATAATACTACATCTTGCAGTCTTATTTATAATGAATATTATTCATAACAGCAGTTTCAAATAATATAAAAATGACCAATAATTAATTATTTGTGAAAATGTATCATCCCTAGTGACTTTTTGATTTGAAGGGAGAGATTGCAAACATTCAAGTACTGGTGGTAATTCAAGTTCAAAATCGGAAATAGATGCTGGATTCTTAAATCATACGTATCAATAGGTATTTTGCAAACTTTATAACAATTGGTTAGGTAAGTATTACTTCTACGTAACCCAATAACCTATTTAAATTCCAATTAAGGGAGCAGGCCATGGGCAGAGCAAACCTTAATAATGAGAATTGAAAGAAATGTTCTTTTCCTATGTCATCATTGGTTGCCTAGCAACGTTTTGTTATTAAATATTCTACATCGAATTTGGCTAGAGTAAATAGTTGCCGGTTGCTTGTATACAACACAAGACACACATTTACGCGGCGACGCCTAAACTTGCACTTCGAAAAGGGTGCACAACCTTTGGAAAGCAGAGAACCCTCTACTTGGAGGTGACTCATGCCCGATGATACGTATATTTACAGATATTTGGATAACAAAATAATATTGTCCGCAGGAGAACCAGTGCATGAGAATCAAGATTTTAGGAGACTGTTACTATTGCGTATCAGGATTGCCCGTGTCTCGGCCCAATCACGCTTACAACTGCGTCAATATGGGACTGCAAATGATTGATGCTATACGGTAAGCGTCACTATCGCGTCAAACCAAAGCACTGTAATAACAAAAATAGCATTTTGAGAAAAAGCTGCGTAAAGAGCTTTTCGGTTATTTGTAATTTTTTAAATTAATAACTTAAAAAGATACTTTTGACTTATGTTATACATTATATATTAAAGAAATCTTCTAACCATCATAATTTTACTTTGGAAAGTCAGTTACTTTATTTGAAAAACGAATAAATTTCTTTTCCATCGTTAACAGCCGAAAGATTCTTGTTGTTATGAAATTACAAAACACTATATTGAATCTTGCAGTGTTTTGGTTTGACACGATAGAATGTCGTTTTTATTGTTAAAATTTGAGCTGCGGTAAATATTAGTAGACCCCTGCTCCGGAGACATTTGCGCGATCTGAGAGTCTTCGCTAAGTCTGACGCTCGGCCCGCAACACTGTGCTGCATTCCGCGCGTAAGGGTGTTTCCCATTGTGTGGTAACGACAGATAGTCGTGCAGTTTAAAGTGTCGTAGCTTGTATATTTAATTGAAGTTGTTCACACATGGCACAACAAATTAAAGATTAAGCTAGAACAACAGCCATCAGACAATAAATAAAACGTTACGATAAAAATGTGACGACAGAATCGCAGATTCAAACATTCCGTCGTGCAAACGACAAGGCGGCAGTCGTGAAGCGATAAATTGTCATGACTGTCTAGTGGGAACAACTAGATACGACAGTCGTACAACAATACCTACATTAAACGTCCACGACACAGTCACGACAGATAGTCGTGATAAGGGAACACGATAGAAAAAAAACGTTAACTTAATGTGTGCTTACTCAATTTTCACAATCTCAATCAGGAAAAGTATTTTTATATTTATTTTTATGATACCATGTGGCGGGACGAACAAGTCGTGCGCCTGGTGTTAAGCGACACGCCTGTCCATTACAGTTGCAGTGCCACTCAGAGTTTTAAATCGCAAAGATGTGAGGGGCACTCCCACTGCGGCCATCACCCTGAGTCATAAGTTGACAAGTCCCATGTGCCTATAATTTCACCAGCATCCTTACTCTTCGAAACCGGAACGCAGTAATGCTCCCATTACAGCTTGGTGACAGAAATAGATACGGTGGCTGTACTTCCCTGGACGAACTCTTTCTCTAAGAGATCTGCTACTGCTAAAATAAGTTAATTTAAGTTTGTCTGTAATATTCGTGAACTACATTTAGTACTAATGTAAGCATTACCGCGTTTCAGTTTGGAAGGGTAAGGGTGCTAGTTAAATTACAGGCACATGAGTTACCAGTGCCCCTTAGGCATTTGCAAATAAAGCTCGGAGTTGTACTGTAACAGTTAGTTCAGATCCCGATAGTACCAATGTAGAATGTTGATCACGATTCCACGTATTTAACTTACATTTAAGTACTAATTAAGTTTTTAATGTATCTTGTTTGTTTTTATATGTCTATAGTAGCATGGATATTAATACATTTCTGTACGTGTCCATTCAGGGTAGTACGTGAGGCTACCGGCTTTAATGTGGACATGCGCATAGGTATCCACACAGGCAACGTGCTATGCGGCGTTCTGGGGCTGCGCAAGTGGCAGTTTGACGTATGGAGCGATGACGTCACACTTGCTAATCATATGGAATCAGGAGGTATAGCTGGGTGAGTATGTTCATTTATTTATTGTATAGAAAAGCCAACATGATGCATATACAACAATAGCAATTACACATTACAACAAAAAAGGTTACAAAGTTTAAAGGTAGATACACCACCCATGTTAGAGAATCCATGAAAGAATTTGATTGAATAGTTGTTGATTCTTCGGCTGAGAATCAAACAATCAACTACTGTGGGGCTAGCACGACAGGGCACCACTTGCGCAAGAGTGACATAAAGCGCTACATACTATTTTCGCATAGAGATCTAGTCGCGCCCTATCATGTTTTCTTTTTTTTTCTTTTTGTTTATTCCTTCCACCCCCTCGATATTTATTATTCGGGGTCCTTGAATATATGTGTTTTCCATGTATGTCTCTTTGTTTTTTTTATTATAGTTCTTCTTTCTTTATTCACTGTGTGTTACATATTTATTTGCATGTATATGGTTTTTATTACCTAACTACATAGCATTATATTTTTGTAAAATAAAAATTGTCAGCATTCAAAATTTTAAAATTGAAATAAAATAAAATCCATTTTTTGAATTAATCTAAATTGCATAAAGTCATTTGTAAAATTGTTAAAATAGTGTCATAAAATTGTAAAAAATAATAAAATAGTGTAAATCATTGTAAGAAAAAATATAATAAATCAAATAAAATATTGCGTCAGAGTTTAAGTAATAATTTCACCCACGTTGTTCCTTCCGCACTACGAAGGCTTTGTTTTCACCTTATTGGCCTGCCCTACTGCTTTCATAATCGCCACACAGATGTCGGCAAATTTCGGTCCTGAACGCTTCCCGCCCTATCATGTTAGCACTACAGAGAATGCTTCGTAAAGAGGCGAAAAACGTGTCGGGTATATTTTTGGTGGTGGTTTTTGTGATTGTAATTAAGTCTGGTTTGCTATGTTTTTAAAATGGGAAATTTGTCCTTTGCAAGTTTCTTTTTTGGAGAACTAGTAAAGATCTCGAAGTAGTCGTCGTTCAGTTATTGACCGCTAGATGTCACGAAACTGATTGAAATTTCTCTATGAAATCAAAACGTATTTTTAACCGACTTCAAAAAAGAGGAGGTTCTCAATTCGACTGTATGTTCTTTTTTTTTGTATGTATGTTACGCGATAACTCCGGTATTTGTGAATCGATTTTCATGATTCTTTTTTTGTCGGAAAGGGGGTATTCCCATAGTGGTCCCATTTAATTTTGAAGAAAATCGAAGGGTGGCTGTTCACGCATGAAGATTCATTTTTAGAAATAGCGCCTAACTTTAATTTAGGAGCAATTACTTTTAGCAATTATTTAGTTGATTTTGCTATTTCTCCAATTCAAGACGTTTTTCTCTCGATATACTTTGAGTAGTGTCGTAGTGAGAACCTATTTTTATTATCTCCAGTATAAAGTCCTGTATAGTGGCGAACTATATATTTATATAATATTTCAATGAAACTTAGCAAATAGACGTAATTCCACGTACTTTTGAGGTCGGTTTTTTTAGTACTCTGTACTGAGATTATTGGTGGTGGTGTTTGATTGTAGTTGCGTTTGTTTTATTTATTTTATTATTTTTGAGATTGGGAAAATTATCTAAATATAATTATTCACTGGGTTTGCGGAAGTAATTTACTGCACTTTTTTAAATTAAGGCTGTGATAGGTGAGTGAGTGCGTGCCGACCAAATACGTGTACGGGCTACGCTCGCCACTTAGCACGATCCTGGCAAACCTCTCTTGCCTAACTTATATTCATCAATATTTTCATACAGGCCCTCTTATTATTCTCACTTCGAACCACAGCTTTTTAAGAAGACTATCAAATTTTATCTGAGAACGTTCTTCTTGGCCGTTGTTACGGACGGCTGTACGCGCCTGGCCTGCCAGAGCTAGAATTCAGAGGAAAATGAATAATTCAGGAGCTCTGATTGGCCGAGCGGCGTAGCGACCCATTGATAGGGCCGGTACGGTGTGGGAGACACCGTACTGGTATAAATATAAGCGATTTTCAGTTTCATTGTTATTCGCATTATTCACATATCAGATTTCTTGGATTCTTAAATTAGTTGTTTCTTGTGTTTGTAAGTCAGATCAACATATATGAATATACAGTCCACTTCAGATTAAGGAAGTTTCATTTTACAATAAGGATATCGAAGGAAGAATAAAGAAGGTTACTTCAAGTTTGGTGAAGTTTCAACAGTTTTGGTCCTTCGAGCCGGATCGACCAGCGAAGTTTTCATAGCCGTTCTCTTCCAACGATGCCTTCTACGTTAGCTCTGTGACGATGCGACCTCCTCCATCTTCATCCCACCTTTTGTGCCCAAACCACTTCAGTATACATTTTTCTAGTTTTGTCAGTACGTCCTCTTTTATACCACATAGTACACGGATCACAGTATTCTTCATTATGTCACATAACCGCATTTGTCTGAGGAGATTTATTTCAACTGCGTTCACTATATTCTCGTGCTTCTTCTGCCATACCCAATACTCACTCTTTTACGTTAGCGTAATGCATGTGTAACTGTGCCGTAAAATTATCAACGAAATAAACATTTTTCTTTCTTTCTTTCTTTCTTTATTTCCTACTTTCTTTCTATCCTACTTTCTTTCTTTCTTCCATTACTTCGAAGAATGATGATCTTTTGTTTTCTTCTTTCTTTCTTGTATTGTTCTCGATTTTACCATTTGAATATAAAGTTTACATTAGCTTGATTTGCTATTCATGCATTCTCAAGTTCTTCGGAAGGTTTTCACGTTTGGTAATAAAAATATTTTGTCGGATCTAAATCCCAATCTAAAATTGTTTTTATAAACAAATCTTTTCTAACAGCTTCAACAAGTCGAGTAATAAAAATATGTGGTACATTCATTGACTTACAAATAAATGGACGACGGGTCTAATACAAAAACCACGAAAAAAATGTCCCAAGTCAACCTATTCGAAATTTAAATTGTAATGTCATCGCAGTATCGCGCTGTCAGTAGAACAAATGAAGACTAAAGCGGAGTGTCGCGCTCTGTATACGATTTTAGCGCCTTACAAGTGCGGACACTTTTTAGCGCGGACCCGACATCCATATAATTGTAAGTCAATGGGTACATTTTAAATTTTTCAACAAAAGAGATTTTTTATCCAATAGCGTCACAGCAAGTCAAACTGGCAGCTATAACTTGAAAAAGTTGAGTCTTGTCGAATGATATTATCGCCAGTTTTCGGTTAAAAGCCTTTCAGACTTTTTTACGACACTTGAAAAAACAGCCTCATAACAGTTTAGGGGCTGGAAGCCCATATTTCAACTATAATTGTGTCGTACAACTTCGACATTTTTTTCTTCGTAACTAATGCGAAAATGAATTAAATTTATTATTATCTATTTCAATTTTTCACCTAAAAGCTAATACTTTCCCGCAATAGTACAGTCGCCTGGCTCAGGTACTCATAAAATGATACGTACCGTATCGAGCAACACTGCTTCCTGCATTTGTGTTATTATTATAACATAAGTATATCAAATATACGTGAAAATTAATAGGATTTTCATAAAAAGTAATTTTTATTGAAAAGAAAAAAGGAACCGCCTTTAAACTTTACTTGTAATTATGTACATGGTCCAGAACACGTCAAACTTGACACTTAAGACTTAAAACCAATTCCACGCCGCTTACGATAAGAACAGTTCTAAGTACAAAGTGTCAAGCTTGATGTGCTATTGACTGTACTGTAACTGGGACGTAGTTCGGATTGCGTTGCGAGAGGTACTTTTATGAATTTAAAGTGGAATAATCTTCAAAATATACTTTATTGTATTCTTTCACATACTTATAGTGTTGGGTTACATTTCAATAATGTCAAGATGCTCCATTGTTTTCTTACTTCCTTTTTTATAACACATTCTAATTACAAAACTATTCATTCAGCCAGTGATTCTACTCATAGAGTAGAGCCTAGACTACAGTACATACAAACTGGAACAAAAAGGTAACAATTGGTTACCGGAAAGTACCCGAAACCGGATTCATCCCCTAGTTTGTCACTATTAGACGTGGAATATTTTCTTCAAATTTAAATGGGACCACTCCTGAGGTAGAAAAAGAATCATCAAAATCGGATTCACGTAAGTTCAAGCTATCAAAATATCGTTGAAGTTACGTAGTCGTTCGATCGAAGTCCTATACAAATTGGGTATTCACGTATCACTTGAACGGACATTGGTATGAGTAGAATTGAAACGTAACGAGTAATGAACGACATCTTGGATTTTGAAATTTGACATTTAGTCGTCGAAAGTCTATTGAAAGAACTGTCAAAATTTTAGCAGAATACCGTATTACTTGTCGTTTAGAGTCAATTTAAGTTCTATTCATATACCAGAAAATGCTTTTTTAATACAGTTGCTCAAAACGTGGTATTTTTCGCACTACAAATCGTGCGGAAAGTTGGATTTCTCGCATTAGTGCTTTTTACTTTTCCAGTTTTTTTTAAATTTACTGTTGTTTTAAGTCTTAAACATAGAACTAAAGAGATTGTATATTTATTTCATATTTATGTGCTTTGTGACGTAAGTCATTCGTCATTACTATACTATATCTAAGGACAGACCGCATTTTTACACCTATGAAGTAAATGCTCCTTAGTAGCGATTATGTACAAAATAAAGTAATATGAAATTATAAAATAGTAATTTTAATGTGGCTGAATACTGGCAACAGTTGCCATATTGAAAAAAGTCGGCCAAAAAAGTACTAATTTTTTCATTTTTTTCATCGTTCACATTCCCGCCTTTTTCATTAACTTTTTTACGATTTGATTTTGTTATTGACAAAGGAATAAAATGAGGTTTTTTTTAAATACTGTTTTATTTTACTTTCAATGTAGGTTTTTCGCAAATGTATTAAAAAACGTTGTTTGATATACATGCGGATTTGTCATTTTCACTTGTCTCGAGTCTTGACCCTCGCCTCTGAATTTTTTCCTTTGTGTTCGGTCTTAATAAAAAAGAA